TTCTCTCTTTTCTCTTCTCTTTTATCTTTTCTCTCTTTTTCTTCTCTCTCTCTCTCTCTCTCTCTCTCTCTCCTCTCCTCTCTCTCTCTCTCTCTCTCTCTCTCTCTCTCTCTCTCTCTCTCTCTCTCTCTCTCTCTCTCTCTCGTCCTCCAAGGGAGTTATCCTCCCATTTTTGGGAGGAAATCTGGTTACCTCTCATCAGTTCCCTAGGCTCTCTCACCCTTACGGGTTTAGTGGTTCCCTATAAATGCAATGGCAGAGAAACAATTGTATAATGCTTAATATTCTTATTTATTACTTGATAGCTATGATTAAGATATTTTAAAATACTTTTTGTGAAGCAAAACTCTGTAGAAAAAGCTTTGAGACGGAACAAAATGTTGTCCCAATAACAACATTGCTAAGTCAGGTAAAAGGACACAAGCGCAACTCTGTGACGTTTTATTGTAGCAACGTTTCGCTCTCAAGGAGCTTTATCAAGTCTTTGGTAACGGCTTGACAAAGCTCCTGGAGATCGAAACGTTGCCACAGTAAAATGTCACATCAGTTGTATTTGTGTCCTTTTTACCTAACATATTGTCGGTAATTCTACCAACATTGTTACATATTCTGCTAAATTTGGCTTTCACGAATGTGAGCAGTACGTCATGCAGGTGCAGTAAATACGGTTATTGATACTTGTTATTGTGTGTGTGTGTGTGTGTGTGTGTGTGTGTGTGTAGGCGGACGATGGTGTGTACATCACTAGGAACGGGAAGATCAACTTCGTGGACCTGGCTGGTTCTGAGATGACCAAGAAGACCAACTCTGAAGGCAAGACTCTTGAAGAGGCCAACAACATCAACAAGTCTCTGATGGTGCTGGGTGAGTAATGTGAACCTTAAAAAAAAATTGATTGCTATACCTGTAGTTTAATGATCGAAGTCTCCGGGTACGAAGCGAAAGGACTCGGGCTCGAGTCTTTGGTCGGGCTGGACGTATGTGCAAGTTTCTTTACATCTCTTGACCCATTTTTACCTAGCTGTGTTACTGTGTGTGTCCAGATTGTGGGTCGCATCCCGGGGAGGGTGATTAGTATATTTTACATGGGAGGGAAGTGGGAGAATATTTACAAGGCTTCGAAATAAAGGTGCCATTCCTTTGGCACTATATGACCCTTATGGGTTTAGCGATCCCCCCGTAAATATAATAATCTGAAGTGAACTAAGATACGACAAAAGCTGTTAACTTGTAAATGGAACTTTGGTGAAGAATACAGTATACTATCAAAGTGAAGACTCGCTGGAAGTCAAAATCTGCGTAAAAATGAGTAAAAAAAAAAAAACTGCGGACGTGGTGGAAGCATTCAGGTGATGGGCAAAACGTACACACGGCGTTGTATTTAATGATAATTAAAAAAAAAACACATTAACATGACAGCAGAATTGCGACTACGTACCTCAACAGCTTTCTTGAGCTTCACAGAAGACGGGGAAGCTGCGGACGACAACACTCAGCCTTGAATGTAACAATGGTTTACTGCAGTGTAGAGCAGGATTTTGCAAATAGATTTTGATACTTCTTTCACGGAGATTGAAAGTGGAGTTCATCACTGTGCATGGCTTAGTTGCTGAATGTCTTCTTGGTACATCCGTGTTGTGGGGCATCCCTGATCTGTGCGAGTTTCGGTATCACTTTTGAAGTTGAAGATTGAGACACTTGTGCAACATATGGGAATCTTTATTGAAGAAACGTTTCGCCACACAGTGGCTTCATCAGTCCAATACAAATCAGAAGAGTGTAAGGAGAGGAGGAGTTTGAGGTAATCAGTCCCTCAGCCTGGAGTCGATGTGTTCAGTCCATCAATCTTGTAGAAAGTACAACATAGGGCCGTAGAAGTGGCTTGTATACTGTAGTCAGGCGAGGCGAAGCAGGAGGAGGCGGGGTCATAGTGGTACCATCAACTAGTCGAAGTAGGTCTTCGTCCTAAGGTTGGACAAGGTTGAAGAATTCTTTGTATAAAGATCCCATGATGTTCCAGTGTCTGACAGATGTGATAAATGGTGTAAAACCGACAAGTTGAAGATTGAGACACTTATTCAACATATGGGAATCTGCAGCATCATGGGATCTTGATACATAGAAATATTCAACCTTATCCAACCTTTGGACGATGACCTATTTCGACTAGTGGATGGTACCACTATGACCCCGCCTCCTCCTGCTTCACCTCAACTGACTACAGTATATAAGCCACGTCTACAACCCTATGCTTAAGGGGCACACTAGCTGAACTGTCCAGAACAGTGCTTGAGCAGCATATGCTGCAACAATAAAAAATCAGTTCTCCTTCAGGAGCCAGAGATGGGTCATCTCAAGATTAAGACCCGTGCCAGGACCCTGGTCTTGGCGAACATTATACACACATACCTATGCTGTACATTCTGCAAGATTGATGGACTGAACACATCTACTCCAGGCTGAGGAACTGATTACCTCAAACTACTACTCTCCTTACACCCTTCTGATTTGTATTGGACTGATGAAGCCACTGTGGCGAAACGTTTCTTCAGTGAAGATTCCCTTATGTTGCATAAGTGTCTCAATCTTCAACTTAGCTGTAGTTAACTAACACATCCATCATGCAGGATGAATTTAATATATACAATCAGCTTCGGATGGTCAATGAAGATATCAACTTTTCACATTGGGTGCAAGATCTAGAAAGCCAAGTGTGTGTATGTCGTCACTTGCTTCGTTCTGCAGACCAACTGCATTCGTTTAGATATGCTGATTACTGAGAGGGGTAACAGGCAGCTTACAGTAACAGGCAACTCCATGGGTGATAAAGTATTATCCAATAGTGTCTGCTATATATAATACTCTTCTTGTGGTAAGCTTGACAACCCATTTAAGAGAGTGATTTATGGAGATCGATGAAGTGAATACATGAACCCCCCTCCCCCCCCCCCCCACACACCAAAAAAAAAAAAGCGCACACGCATGCACGCACGCGCGTACGTGTTTATTCGCTAAACTTCTACTCTAGTTGTGTTCTGAGTATCATGCTAGGCCAACGTTGCGTCGCTCATGCACTACAATGCTGACCACTTTGGAGATTAACGTCTGCATAATAAACAAAGGGGGAATTACAAATTCTAATTAGATTGAGACTAATACAAAAATGTGTGGGGAAGAAAGGCAAAAGTAAATATTGAGGTAACCATTATAGTGAACGAAAGAGTAGTAGACATAAATATACGCAATATAACCACAGTCAAAAGTAATGGTATTCCAAGCGTTTTCATGATCTCATCACTGATCCATGTTAATGTCAGAAAGCACGAAATAGCTTTTCATTGTGGTTATATTGCATATTAGGATATCGCCTGTTTCTTGATGTCCTGTTGCATTCTGAACAGCGTTCCGTGGAGCTGGCGCAAACAGCCGGGTAGATCCAGTTATTACTACAGCTGAGTAGGTTTGGTTAAAGGTGGCAACAACTGAATACAAGTACTAGTTGTAGAAACTCTGAAATATACACGCATGCAAAATGTAGGATATATTTTTTAAGAGTCCCTCACAGAGAACAGAATATGTAGTGGACGGAGGTCAGTCATTGAGAACACTTGATATGCTAAAATTTACAGACTGAATATAGAAATGGTATACAATACTGACAAGTTGATTAGTAAGACGCATGTTCAACAGTTAGGAATCTTATTCCGAAACGTTTCACCTGCAAAGTTTGCTTCTTTAGTCGAATACAGAGGAGGCAGCAGAAGAGGCACCTCGATGTAATGACGATGTAATCAGTCCATCACCCTGGAAGACGTAGTTTTGAGGTGGTCAGTCCCTCAGCCTGGAGAAGAGTTCTGAAACAATGTTCCAGGCGGAACGTAGGCGAAAAGTTTGGGAACAAAGATACCACTGTTGCACATGTCTTAATAATCAAAAATTTACGGAGTTTTTGGTCACTCTTAGTGCCTCGAGAACGCGACTTTTCTGCCGGCGATAAGTGGCCTAATAAAATGTTGAGTGTTGCATACGTGTGTGCCTTTCACATGAAGAGAAAGATAACCCAAGGAAACCATTCTGTTTTTTTTTTTTATCCTGTGAGGTGCTTTTCATCATCTTGTTCAGGATGTGACCCACAACAGTGGACTAACACCCAGGTTATCTGCTTACTGCTAGTTGAACAGAGGCAACAGATGTAGGGAAACGTGCATACTGTTTCTTCCCGGGGTGCTACCTCTTGAACCACGGCTTGTTATAGCTGAGCACTGGGTGTGCTCGTGAGCGAGGCTTGGGCGAAACCTATTTAGACTTTTGCTTGGTGAATACTTAGAGGATGTGCATTTCCACACCCTGCACTACCGACCGTTCAAGGGAAGCACCGTGATGCTGGTGAAGGGCTCTTGATCAGGGGAATTAGAGATGCCCTCCCCCATCGGATGAAGCTTCATTACCTCTCATTCCCCAGGCGTTGTATGGCTCTTACGGGTTTAGCACTTAGCACCTCAACACGTAATGTCATTATTATTATTTAGGGGGTAATGTATGTTTGAGAGTCGGGTTAAAATTTGATGGGTTTATTAAGCACACACACACACCCATTCTGTCGGGTCTGTGGGTAGTAGCCACCCCATACCCATTATGTAGATAGTAGTCATCCCATACCCATCTTGTAGGAGTGTATATGATAGTCAAAAGATTTTAAGAACATAAGAACATAAGAACGAAGGAACACTGCAGAAGGCCTACTGGCCCACGCGAGGCAGGTCCAAGTCTCCTACCGGCTTAAGCCAATGCACCCAACCTAGTCAGGTCAGGTCACATTGACTTAAGGGAGGAACACGGCAACCGACCTGTTAGCACAAGCTATCAGGTCTAACTCACACCCACCCACATCTACTCATGTATTTATCCAACCTATTTTTAAAGCTACACAACGTTCTGGCCTCTATAACGGTACTTGGGAGTTGTTCCACTCCTCCACAAACTCTATTACCAAACCAGTACTTTCCTATATCCTTCCTGAATCTGAATTTTTCCAACTTAAAACCATTGCTGCGAGTCCTGTCTAGGCTAGATATTTTCAGCACACTATTACATCCCTTTATTTATTCCTGTCTTCCATTTATACACTCAATCATATCCCCCCTAATTCTACGTCTTTCTAGAGAGGTGCAGTTTCAGGGCCCTTAGTCTATCCTCATAGGGAAGGTTTCTGATACATGGGATCATCTTTGTCATCCTCCTTTGTACATTGTCCAGAGAATTTATATCCATTCTGTAATACGGTGACCAAAACTGTGCAGCATAATCTAAATGAGGCCTAACCAAGGATGTATAGAGTTGAAGAACAACCTGAGGACTCCTATTATTTATGCTTCTTGATATGAAGCCAAGGATTCTATTAGCTTTATTGCGAACACTTATGCACTGTTGTCTTGGTTTCAGATTACTGCTAACCAGAACTCCTAAATCTTTTTCGCAATCCGTTAATATTAAGATCTACATTATTTAGTTTATATGTGGCATGGTTATTGTCCTGTCCAACATTTAGAACTTTGCATTTGTCTATATTAAACTGCATCTGCCACTTCTCCGACCACTGCATCAGTCTATTCAAATCTTCCTGGAGTGCTCGAATGTCCTCGTCAGAAATGAATTCGACGGCCTATTTTGGTGTGCATCGGCAAAACTTGCCGATGTCGCTCTTTATGCCCTCATCTATGTCGTTTATGTAGATTGTGAACAGCAGGGGGCCCAACACTGACCCCTGTGGAACACCGCTCTCGTGACGCTTCCCCACTCTGATTTCTCCCCATTTATGCAAACTCTCTGCTGCCTATTTGTCAACCATGCCTCTATCCAGGAAAAAAATTTCTCCTCCTATTCCATGTGCTTTAATTTTCCTCAATAGTCTCTGATGTGGGACCCTGTCAAAAGCCTTACTAAGTCCATATACACAATATCATATTCATTACCATGATCTACCTCCTCAAATACCTTAGTGAAAAAAGTTAATAAATTCGTAAGGCAGGAACGCCCTTTGTAAAACCATGCTGAGATTCGTTGATTAATTTATGCTTTTCAAGGTGGCTACGAACTGCCTCGGCAATTATTGATTCCATAAATTTTCCCACTATGGAGGTTAGGCTTATTGGTCTATAGTTCGAAGCTAAGGACCTGTCACCTGTTTTGAAAATAGGTAATCACATTTGCCATTTTCCACTTATCTGGCACCATGCCAGTTCGTAGTGATATGTTGAAAAGATTAGCCAAAGGTGTGCTAAGCCTCTTTACATTCCTTTAGAACCCTTGCATTACAGTTCATCAGGGCCTGGGGATTTGTTAGGTTTCAATTTATCTATTTGCCTAAGGACCATGTCACTTGTGACCCTAATAGTGCACAGTTTATTATCGTCTGTTCTACATAATTTATCATTATGGTATATCGCTGGTATCTCCTGTGTAAAAACTGAGAGGAAGTATGTGTTAAAATTCTACACATTTCCTTATCACTGTCAGTGAGCTGACCGAGGAAACTTTTGAGTGGGCCTATCTTGTCCCTGATCTTATTTCTGTATACCTGAAAGAATCCTTTTGGGTTAGTCTTCGATTCTCTTGCAACTTTAACCTCATAATCTCTTTCGCTTTTCTAATTCCCTTTTTTATTTCTCTCTTTAACTGAATATATCGATTTCTTAATTGGCCCTCTCCTCTTTTGATTTGCCTATATATGCCTCTCTTTTGACCAATCAGATATTTTAATCTATTGTTCATCCATTTAGGATCATTTTTGTTTGATCTGATTTCCCTATTTGGAACATAATTTGACTGAGCAGCTAGAACTATGCCCTGGAAAGCATCATATCGGCAACCATCCCCACCTACCTGACCCTTAGTCAGGTCATTCCAGTTCAGCCACCTAAGTAATTTTTCAGTCCTATGAAATCAGCCAAGCGAAAGTCAGGGACGGAGACTTGATTGCCATTATTAGGGGAATTCCATGATATATTAAAACTGAGTGATTTGTGATCACTCTCCCAAGCTCATCATTAACCTCAAGATTATTAATTAGTGTTTCCCTACTGGCAAGAACCAAGTCAAGGAGGTTATTTCCCCTAGTTGGCTCTGTCACAAACTGTTTTAAAAAACAATCCTGGATCGTATCAAGAAAGTCACCCGACTCTAAATTTCCTGTCAAACTGCTCCAGTCAATCTGTCTATAGTTGAAATCTCCCATTAGCACAACATTTTCGTATGTAGATGCCTTACGAATTTCGTCCCATAGAAGTTTACTGCACTCCCTATCAAGATTTGGGGCCCTGTAAATCACACCCAAAATTAGTTTTTCTCGGCCCTCGAGAAGCTGTAACCAAACAGATTCAGTGGCTGACGCTTCTAATTTAATATCTTGTCTTACACAACAATTTAAATTGTCTCTGACATACATCGCTACTCCATCAGTAGTAGTTAAACACAATGAATTCAATCACATTAACATAACACACAACATAACAATGTTCAACTTTATAGGGTTATACTGTATTAAATTCTAAATAACGTATTATAGAAGACCAGTAAATATGTTCTTAGGGAATTTGCGATAGTAACTGGCAACCAGGCGTCAATTATTGTACCTCCTTGAGGGGCTCATGTTCTAGCAAATTGCACTTGCCCTCCCCTTTCGTTTAATTGAACCTGGTTGTCTCTTATTTCCTAACCCCCTCTCTCTTCACCGGGCGCTGTATAGCCCCTTCGGATTTTGTGCTTTTTATCAAAATATAATAATGATCAATTGTTGCAGGAACGTGCATCGCGGCGCTGTCCGACTCCCGCAAGAGAGACGCTCACGTACCTTACAGAGATTCCAAGCTGACCAAACTTCTGGCTGACAGTCTAGCGGGCAATGGTGTAACTCTCATGGTGGGTCTCATGAACCGGTAGTGGTAGCTATGATGTTATCTGATAAAATACCCTGTGGCAAGGTGGAAAGCATTTGTTAGATCAAGGTTCATTTGGGGACTAGGCGAACCATGATCCCAATAGAGATTTCCAGTCTCTTCTAGTTTCTTGTTATCAGGTTGTTGGGTTTAAAACCTATTACCTGAATTTCTCTTAAGCAGCTTTGATTATTTTATTTTATTACTCATATTTTAGGGTATTATAACGTCCAAGTATATACTGAATACTGATTAAAGAGAGGCTCTGAAGACTTCCGTCTCCCATCATTTCCTCAACCCCCCCTCCACCCAAAAAATAGTGATAAGTGTTGATAATAATGCGGGAGCGATGGGCTAGTAACCCCTTCTCCTGTAGACATTTACTAAAAAAGAGAAGAAGAAAAACTATAAAACTGGGATGCTTGAATGTGCGTGGATGTAGTGCGGATGACAAGAAACAGATGATTGCTGATGTTATGAATGAAAAGAAGTTGGATGTCCTGGCCCTAAGCGAAACAAAGCTGAAGGGGGTAGGGGAGTTTCGGTGGGGGAAAATAAATAGGATTAAATCTGGAGTATCTGAGAGAGTTAGAGCTAAGGAAGGGGTAGCTGTAATGTTGAAGGATCAGTTATGGAAGGAGAAAAGAGAATATGAATGTGTAAATTCAAGGATTATGTGGATTAAAGTAAAGGTTGGATGCGAAAAGTGGGTCATAATAAGCGTGTATGCACCTGGAGAAGAGAGGAATGTAGAGGAGAGAGAGATTTTGGGAGATGTTAAGTGAATGTATAGGAGCCTTTGAATCTCACCACCGCTCAAGGCCACACCACAACTGAACAAATAATATCTCTTAATACAAAGGTTGAAGAAGCAGTAAAAGAATGGAAGAACAACTTAGATAACCAGTTCAGTGACTACTTTGCTCTCCAAGAAGATAAAACTGAACAAGATAAACTATCGGACGCAGTAATAGTTAACAGTCCACTTTTTCCCAGTGATATGAACCAAACAAACAGTAATTACTATCCAGATCATAAAGGACCAAACAAAAGTTACAGTACCAGAGTCAGCAATAAAGGAAGACAGGTTACTAGGATCCCATGGTAGAAAAAGTGTTATGCTTAGATTCCACTCATGACAGGAAAAAAGACTTAATAATTGCATCTATTAAAGTAAAGAAAGAGGTATACATAAACGAGTGTCTTACCAAAAAACGTCAGAACCTCCTGTACAGAGTCAGAAAACTTAAGCGGGAGAATAATGACACAATACACCAATGCTTCACACGGGATGGGAAAATTCTAGTTAGGAAAACAAATGTAGGTCAACTGTACACAATCACGAACGAGAATGATCTATCACGATTTCTCAGGGATACTAATCTTACAGAGAATAACTAAACAATGTCCAACCTAAAAGCCTACGTAATGTAGTGTATGTTTTGCTCCATTATTGTTCAAATTTCATTGTACAATCTTTTAGTAATTAAATAATCAACTACCTCATTATGTGATTTTACTAGTTTTTTTTTATATTTTATTTAAAAAACACAATACACATCATACATTTGTGCTATATTTAGGTTACATAAACAAAGAAACATGATCCATTAAATAATAAAAACAAACAACTCCACATTCCTTATCCCAGCACTAAACTTATACATAAGAAACACGCTCAACTATAAATGCTTGATTCCCCCTCCAAAATGCCCAACCAGCACACACAACATACATGTAACTAAAAACAGTCCACACCTGTACATACAGGTGGGTTTATTATATCCATAAAATACAGCCAGTCTCTTACAACACAAAAGGCAATATAATCCAAAGAATGTCACACTTATTTACGTTATATATGAAACTTTATAAACAAAGACATTCTCATATAATACAATTCGTTGCACACTCATTAATATTGTATATTAAACTTTATACACAAAGACATAATACTAAACACCTCAAAAATTACAATATAATAAAGGTGACAAAATAGCCATTTGCACACCTTACCACAGAGAAACTAAACACACTATTAAAATAACAAAGATACACACTCATGTTACATAGCACATTATTATTAGTGTGTTAACAATGCTTTGAGTGTTCCTTCTTGTAGTTGTCTCACTGACAAAGATCATTTTTTTTTATATTAATAAAACATAGAAAAAATACAGTAAAGTATAAGAGTAAAATAAAAACCATACTAGATATTACAAAACCTCTAATACACAATCCCGGTACATTTAGAACACCATAGATCATGGCCATATTACAACCATATACATAACCCACAACCATATACATAACCCACAACCATATACATAACCCACAACCATATACATAACCCACAACCATATACATAACCCACGACCATATACATAACCCACGACCATATACATAACCCACGACCATATACATAACCCACGACCATATACATAACCCACGACCATATACATAACCCACGACCATATACATAACCCACAACCATATACATAACCCACAACCATATACATAACCCACAACCATATACATAACCCACAACCATATACATAACCCACAACCATATACATAACCCACAACCATATACATAACCCACGACCATATACATAACCCACAACCATATACATAACCCACAACCATATACATAACCCACAACCATATAATAACCCAGCATATACATAACCACGACCATATACATAACCCACGACCATATACATAACCCACAACCATATACATAACCTTCAAACCCTCCTTTACAATACTCATTATTGCCAGTGCAGACACAGCTGACACTTCTACCCCCCCCCCCGTATGTACAGTCCCCATTCTAAATAACATACATTAATTTCCCTAATGAATGGTCATTGATAACAATTTCTACTAAAATAACCCAACCAACCAACTTCCAAACAAAAACAGTCAGGTTCATTATAAGACATGTAGGAACGAGTCCTTCAATCATATATATATGTATACATATACGCATGCATATACACACATATGTGTATGTGCACTTATTCATAAGAACAAACTAAATCATACATAGAAATAAATCGCTAAATGACTTGTCTGCAAATAAACTAAAAATATTACAATCTATGATAGAACTATACCTAAGACATTGGTTCCCACAAACACACCTACACATACACAAAGTTAATGTTACCGATTAACAAAATAGGGGTATATATAAACCCCATCAAATACTTATATATTTTCGTACATAGTGCATAATGTACCCATTCAATACAATAAAAAAGAGACGTATGACAAGGCTAAATCTATCATCAGATTGAAAATATATAAACATAACCTCACAATATACATATAAATATAAACCTCCTATATAAAATGGTTCTTATAACAAGAGAAAAAACCGAAAATCACATACAACTTTTGACTCTGTGATTTTACAAAATCATAAGGTCTACATACCCCGGAGCCCCCAACGGCTCCCTACAAATAAACTTTACCCACATCAACCACCTTGCAAACCAATCAACCATACCTCATCAGGCTTCCAATCACTCCAAGAGGACGCACCACTGAAGAGACCAACCCCTTGCCTCTCACCCCATACCCAAACGGAGTAGACGTTCAACAGTAAGTCCACGATATCCCTCCGGAAAACTAATTACCCACCTTCCCCCATATAATTGTTTGTTCCTACATGCTGTCCTATAAAAACTCGCCGCCAACGCTTTTATCCTAATGTTCCCCTCCACCTCCCTCATCCCCCAAGAAACATACAAGTAATCAACTATTACGTATCTGATAGCCCTTCCCACCTCTTTGGGTACCCCTTCCATATCTAACATTAAAGCCCTAAGGGGTGATATCTGTCCCCCCCCAATAAAAAGAAAACCCTCTTCAACCACAATCTTACCACCTCCAATGCAGAACAAAAATATACTACATGAAAAGCCGTTTCAACTTCCCCACAAAAACCGCATGACGCCTCTCACAAAACCCATTCGTCTTAGCACCTCTTTCGATGCTAACGTCCCCATAAGAAATCTATATACTAATTCCCTCGCTCTTGCCGGTATTCTTAATTTACTAAATTCCACCCATATCACTCTCCAATCATATGTGGGATACACTGCCATCCCTTGCATTAATTCCTGACGACGACCCACACCCACTAACCGTTTTACCTTGAGTTTTTTAATTCAGTTCAATTCAATTCAATTCAAAGTTTATTCTCTATAAGGATTACAATGCTGAGTTTACAGAAATTTGGTTATTGTTTGGTTTACATGTAGTAAAATTGTGATTACAGAGTGTACCACTAGAACGCTTAGCATGGCTAGGCATTTCGGGCATACTTAGTTTTATTCTTAATTGTAAAATATTACAAATTATGAGGTAAGTTGGTATTATGGCTAAGTGACTAAATACTAGTTTGTGAGTTTAGCAATGTGAATGCTTTTGTTTTGGCACAGTACATAGTTTCAGTATTGGAGTATCACAGGATTCATTATTTTAAGACTGAGATTAATATTTCTGTTTATGGTCAAATGAGTGAGTGAGTGTAAGTGTGAACCACCAGGTGGTATTCGTGTAGTTAGTTGACGGGGTGTATCAGGGAGATAAGATGTTTTCTAATGGTAGTTTTGAAGGTGATGAATGTGTCTGCAGTTCTAGAGTTCTCAGGTAGGGTATTCCAGATTTTAGGGCCTTTGACATACATTGAATTTTTGTAAAGGTTTAGTCGGACACGGGGAATGTCGTAGAGATGTTTATGTCTGGTGTTATGCCTGTGGGTTCTGTCACAACTATCAAGAAAGCGTTTTAGGTCAAGGTTGATATTAGAGTTTAAGGCCCTGTAGATGTAGATTGCACAGTAGTAAGTGTGGACGTACTGAACTGGGAGTATGTTTAGATCTATGAAGAGTGGGGGGGTGTTGCCAGGGATGGGATTTAGTGATTATTCTTACTGCAGCTTTTTGTTGGGTTATTATTGGCTTTAGGTGT